ATACAAATAGAAATCCATTAAATCTTAAAATTTATTTATTAAAAATTTATTAAAAATTATTTATAAATTTTGTATATTTCTATACCGCGAATAAAAAATCGTACATAAATGTGTTAGGCCTTGAACTAAATTCTGCGATTTATATATTTAAAAATATTTATTAAAATGAAATAGTTATTCTTTTTTTAATGCAAATAATTGCCGCCAGCTTCTACGATCTTCTGCCATTTCTCAGGCAAGAGTTGGATTCCACGACGGTAGAATGATGGCTCAAAAGAAGTTATCAGCTCCATCACTCACTTCATCGGCATTTCGGAAGCGCCGTCCTTTAAAGCCGTGTTGCATGGAACAAAACAAGTGATAGTCTGAAGGCACAGCGTCTGGAAAATAGGCACGATGAGGTAGTACTTCCCAACTTAGGTTTGATATAATGTTGCGGTGGTTTGAGCAGCGTATGGTGCGTATGGTGGTTTAGCGTTATCGCGCTACGAAATGACGTTAGATCGTTTTGACGCTACTGGCCGATGTTTTTTTCCTAATTTTCCTTTAATTTGATTAATTATTGACAATTATCATTATTGACAGTGTTCGTCTATTACTGTTACCAGATTTTGACCGTTGACAGCTCATAATATACTCTCTTCTCATTTGTTCTTTGTTTTCAAGATCGAAATTACCACTTCCAAAACGTTAAAATCATTTCTCATATTATCTGAAGATACTGCATCACTACCATACGCTTCTTCAATCAGTCGTTTTGCTTTTGCGGATTTTTTTTTAATCAAAGTGATATGTAACAACGAATATGTTATTTATTTAGTCATTTTGAATCGAACTAAAAATATATTCATGTTAATACGAAATAACTTGCCATAATTTATTTTATATCATGATAAATAACCTTTGACAAACAAAACAAACGTGATCACAAAATATTCTTTTATTAAGTTTTAACTCCACTTCAATATTACCCGCAGAATTTAGTTAAAGGCCTGATAGTTTATAGCTTTTAAAAAAATTAATTTTCGCCTTAATCTATATATTTGCTAATACTTGTGTGATTTTTTCTATCGAGTTATTTAATATTGAAACAAAACGTATCTTCTCGAATTCGACTGCTCATAGAAAAGGAACGAATCAGTACCTAGTATTCATTAAGAAAACGAATAGGAAGCTCCAAGTTTGTTTTTTTTAATTTGTTTATCATTTTTCAGGTGCATTATTCATGTAAGCATTATATTGTGCAATCTTAAGTTAAGGTTGTAAGGTTGAAAATTTAACGAATTATGAATTTCACTGTATATGATATATTCTGATGAAAAAGGGGAAAAAGATATGATGTTAGTGTAAATTTAAAGAAAGGAAGGGAATATAATGTGTGAAGAGCTCAAAAAATAGATTTTTTTCTTTTTTCATAAATCGAAAGTAGGACGTTTGAAAAATATGCCATTAAAGAGGTATGAAAAAATTCGTAGAACAAACGAAAAAATTACAAGCAAATTTTGTTGAGATGCATCAAGCCTAAAATATTCCTACGGCAAGTAGCCGATAGACAGCAAATATTGCTATAATTATTTGCGCTTGGAGTAAGGAGTCACTTGATATTCCACATTTCTTTCACAATCATCATATATGCAATATGTGTGAAACATAAATCAACAAAATAATAAATAAATAATACAGAATGGCTCAAAAGTCACTAGACTTTAAAATTCGAATAAGTTTTTACAGTTAATTAATTTCAAAATTTTTCTTTCAGTTTATTAAAGTGTAATTCTTGGAAATTAATTACAGAGAAATTCACGACTGTGCAACGTGTGAAAATAATCGAATTTTATCTACCAAATCAACGATCAATTTGTGCTAATGCAGAGAGCTTACACTCGTCATTTTAGGGTCAGAGAAAAACCACCTAAATAAGCGATACTTAACTTATTCCGGCGGTTTGAAGTATAGAGATCTATGAGTGATTTTCGACGTGCTGGGAGGCCACGTTCAGGGAAGTCGTAGGACAACATTCAGCATGTACGACGAAGCATTGAAAGATGTACAGGGTGTCCCATTTTAATGTCCCACCCCAAATAACTCTTCAGTACTGAAGTTTCAAGGAAAATGATATGAATAAAAGTTGTAAGGATTTAAGTGATCTACCTTATGATGACCTTTACATTGACCTTGACCTATATTTTCAAGGTCATTTGAAAGTCAACTTACGTTTTTTAAATGGGAATCCTTATTTTTTATTACAGTTTCTTTCTGCTAGTTAATTCGAACAACTTTTGTCTAAAACATTTTTTTATTTTTCTAATATTTTTTGAGATATTTGAGGAAAACTTGATAACTTTTTCAATATTTAACTTACGATATCTCGCTAATTATTTGTCGAAAGAAAAAGTGATACTAGACTTTTTTGCTTTATTTAGTCTCAAGAATATATTGTTACAATAGCGCCCTGACTTTTGTTAATTTGATGATTTTGAAATTTCCAAAAGTCAGTAAATTAACAAAAGTCAGAGCGCTATTATAATAATATATTCTTAAGACTAAATGTGTGTGTGTGTGTGTGTGTGTGTGTGTGTGTGTGTGTGTGTGTGTGTGTGTGTGTGTGTGTGCGTGTGCGTGTGCGTGTGCGTGTGCGTGTGCGTGTGCGCATGTGCGTGTGCGTGTGTGTGTGACTTTGATCACTTTCCTTGAAGGTTTCACTAGTCTCCTGCTAATGATGGATACATCCGAACCTATATCTATCTTAAATTTACAAGGCTCACCGTCTAATTTCCCTGAGAAGCAAAAACTGTTTGTCACGCGACTTAATCTAAACTTATTTCTAATCGGAGTCCTGCTTGTACTTGCCGAATCACCTCCGAACCATTCGGCAATTCCTATTTTGGGCGCATCCGCACGAAAATGCCCTGTGCTCTCACATTGCCAACATTCTCTACCTAGCCCCTTTCCTTTCTGAAAATCTTTTTTTCCCTTCGCAGAAAATTCCTATCTTCCTTTGTGCTTCCATACCGAAATTTTTGTATTTCCAGGCACATTTCTCCATCATATCGCTAGTTTTGTGAAAAATCCCTTCCTGAAATTATTCGCACTATTTTTGTCCGCTCAATTGCTGGATTTAAAGATACTACTCCTTCCAATTGTAAGGTGCGCTTCATAAACCCTTCAGGCATTCCCGCAATCTTATCTCGCACCTCAAATGAACATTCAGGATAAGCTAAACGAGCTAATCTTTCCAATTCATACGTGTATATCGCGTAATCTTCCCCAAATTTTATTTTCCTATTTGTTAACTGGAAATAGAAATTTTGAAAACAAAATTGTTCGCCAAATCGTAATTCTAACTTCGATTTTATTTCCTCATAATTTAAATTTTCCTCTGCACCATCAAGAACCGAATGCCATTTCTTTCTAAGATTCGCTGCGAAAACTTTTGTCTTTCATTTTAAATATTTTTCTTTGTCTTCTTTTACGGCTTTTTTACACATTCTATCAAAAACAGAACTGGCCGCGGTATGATTATGTTGCACAATACGTTCGTATGTACTTATGCTTATGCCTTAACCTATATCCATTAAACCACTAAAAATATTTATACTTTCTCGACCAAGACCCAGCAGTCTCATTACAAAAACTATCCTTCTATTTATTTATACAATATCGTCTCGAGTTGCAGTGCTTAATTTTTTTGCTGAAGTGTTCGGCTGCGGATTTTCATTTTCTTTCGTAAATTGATTTCCATGAAATCATCTTTTTCGCGGTCGTGATACACGCACACTTTTACTATGTTTTGATTTCGGATAACTAGCCATATTATAGTTTATAAAGGTCTTTACTTATCGAAAATAAAAGAGCGACTATCTTTCTACAGCAACACAAAGCGCTGCTTTGAAATTTTGTTTGTAATTTGAAATTGCTGTTTCGACTGCTCCAATATACTTAATCCTGCTTTCAAATATCAAAAAGAAAAAAATATATATATAGTTACTCATAGACACAATGTTAAAAACGTTTACGCAACCGATAATTCCCTTCCAAAAGCTAAGAAAGCGAACCACGCCGAGCGCTTCAGGCTCGACTACCGGCTCGGCGCGTAAACTTGTACAAGCTGTCATTCGAAAAGTATTTTGAATTTCGCTTTAAAATTTTAACAGGATATTTTTTGAATGTAATACTGTTGATTAAGACCATTTTTGAAAAATCGATTTTTAGACCCGGTAAACCAGAATTCTCCCTTAAGTAATAACGTTTTTGGTAATTTTTTTAAACTTCATTCCTTAATAACTTTTTATTAAAGTGCAACAACGAAAACTTGTTGAAAATTATCCAGGATCACAACTTTATAACATACCCAGATAACTAAACCTGTAAAAATAGAATTTGTACAGTGTTTGCTGCAGATTCTGTTAAAAGTTTATTAGCAAGAATACAAAATTTGATAATAAAATATAATGATAGACTGACGGCTGAAATCAAGCAAGATCTGTCGTTAGAATATATTTAAATGGAGCATATTATGGAGGTCCTACTCACTTTTTTTCTGTCGCCAACTTATTAGATTCTGTCAGCAAACTTTATCGACAGAATACGAACCAAATACATATGTAAACACATAGGTCTACCAATCCTGACAGATCCTGATCGAATTTGTTGTTAATCTGTCAGCAAACTGCTAATAGATTATTTATTAAGATACTTCAAAACTATTGAAATCAACATATTTAGCCATATTCTACATGATTATAATTAAGACATTTTATTCTATTTTCAGTTATTTTTGTATTTAAAATTATCACTTCCGATCGCACCAGCAGTTACGGAACACCCTGTGTGTACACTCGCGTTTGTGTGCGTATATGTGTGTGTGCGTGTCTATGTGCGTATATAATGTATATTGAAATATCAGTATTTCTTTTTGAAAAGACATTATTTTCTCATAATTTTGTTGATTATATTATAAACTAGAATAGTGCATTTTGACAAAATGTTTTCTATTACAGGTGCTTGCTTCATTGAAGCATAAAATAGATAATTTTCTTTCGAAATATAACAATGTGGATTTATTGGTTGAACAAGCAAGATTATTTTTGATTAACCGGGAAGAAAAATTAATAAATGCAAGGAAAAATGTATTAGATGCTGCGGCTCAATCTTCAACTATTAAAAGGCATTCTTTAACCGGTGAATTATTTATACGAGGTATAATTTATTTATTATAAATATATTTTAGAAAGTTCCTTACTTATTTCTGTTATAATTTAAGAATACATGTACACATATTATATTTAGTTGAGTTGTATTAATTAAATTTTTTTTAATTGCGTTATATATGTTAGAAACATTCAAAAAACGTATATATTAAAATAATAAATATTTTATATATTGTGTTTTTAAAACATCTCGACAAGGGGCACAAGAATATGCAATAAAAAATGGGGGGCTCTATTTAGGATTTTGAAGTTGACCTTTACGTGACCTTCAAATGACAATCCAAGGTCAAGCCAAGGTCACCGTCAGATGTCCCCCTCTGAACCCTACAACTTTTGTTTGAAACATTTTTCAATAAAATCATCGGTTTGCGAAATATAGCACTAAACTTAAAAACTGGACACCCTATACAGGGTGTCCCATTTTAATGTCCCACCCCAAATAACTCTTCAGTATTGAAGTTTCAAGGAAAATAATATGAATAAAAGTTGTAAGGATTTAAGTGAGCTACCTTATGATGATCTTGACTTTGACCTTGACCTATATTTTCAAGGTCATTCGAAAGTCAACTTACGTTTTTTAAATGGGAATCCTTATTTTTTATTACAGTTTCTTTCTGCTAGTTAATTTGAACAACTTTTGTCTAAAACATTTTTTTATTTGTCTAATATTTTTTGAGATATTTGAGGAAAACTTGATAATTTTTTCAATATTTAACTTGCGATATCTCGCTAACTAGTTGTCGGAAGAAAAAGTGGTACTAGACTTTCTTGCTTTATTTAGTCTGAAGAATATATTGTTATAATAGCGCCCTGATTTTTGTTAATTTGATGATTTTGAAATTTCCAAAAATCAGTAAGTTAACAAAAGTCAAGGCGCTATTATAACAATATATTCTTGAGACTAAATAAAGCAAGAAAGTCTAGTATCACTTTTTCTTCCGACAAATAGTAAGCGAGATATCGTAAGTTAAATATTGAAAAAGTTATCAAGTTTTCCTCAAATATCTCAAAAAATATTAGGCAAATGAAAAAAATGTTTCAGACAAAAGTTGTTTAAATTAATTGGTAGAAAAGGACGGTGTAATAAAAAATAAGGGTTCCCATTTGAAAAACGCAAGTTGACCTTCAAATGACCTTGAAAATAGAGGTTAAGGTCAAAGTCAAGGCCATCATAAGGTAGCTCACTTAAATCCCTACAACTTTTATTCAGATCATTTTCCTTGAAACTTCGATACTGAAGAGTTATTTAGGGTGGAACATTAAAATGGGACACCCTCTGTATATAATAGAGTGGCCCATTTTAATCCATCCAGTTGAATATTTTGAAAACTAAGATCAACACACAAAAATGTTTTAGACAAAAGTTGCAAAGAGTTTTAAGAGGGACATAAGACGGTGGCAATGCTTTGACCGTGAATAATTGCTTGAAGATAACATGAAGGTCACTTTCAATTTCTTAAATGAAACTCCCTATTTTTATTGCATATTTTTGTAGTTTACATCGGGAGTTTTTCAAAACATTGTAATCAAGTTTTATTATTAACAATTTCTGAGATATTTTACATCTTATCATGACATTTTTAACGTGAAGTCCCTTGTCTCTCACTATTCAGAATACTTGATTAACGTGAGTCACTTTGCCTCTCACGATTCGGGATGCTTCATTGACGGCGGAAGTCTCAACTTCTGTCAGTCTCCTGTTCATCCTTCTATCGAAAGAACTGTTCGAAATTATCTCGAATATACAACTGCAACCTATTTTCAAAATGAATAACCATTTTGAGTAAGACAGCTCACGGTATATATCTGCAAATTACTTGTATTCTTTTCATCATATCTCCCTTAGTTGTACGTGCATGTTCATAGATCACATTTTTTATATACCTCCATAAATAAAAGTCGGATGAAGTCAGATTAGGAAATTGTGGGGGCCATGCGACGCGTCCACATCGTCCAATCCACGTTAATGACGTACTCCGAATCATGAGAGGCAAGGGGACTCACGTTAAAAATATCATGACAAAATGTAAAATATCTCAGAAAATTGTTAGTGAAAAAATACTTTATTACAGTGTTTTGTAAAGCTCTTGACGTAAACTATAAGAATATGTAATAAAAAAATAGATAATTCCATTTAAGAAACTGAAGGTCATCTTCAAGCAGCTATTCAAGGTTAAATCGTTGCCACTGTCTTATGCTCCCCTTAAAACTTTTGTCTGAAACATTTTTGTCCGCCGGTCTTAGTTTTCAAAATACTCAGTTGGATTAAAATAGACCACTCTATATATATTTTCTAACTATATCTATAATAGTAATATTTATAGGAGAATTAAAAAGGAAAAGCTTGACATCATCATTTACACAAATATTCAGACGATCAAGTGGTATCTTAGGCCCAAGTAGCTTAACAAATTCTATTAGTCAACCACCTAGTATATCGGAAGATCAACATCAAAATGTTGAATCTGGATACAGGTGAATCATTTAAATTACTGCCATTATCTGCAAAACGTTAAGATATTATTATACAATTAAATTTTTTTTTTTCTTTAATAGATATACCAAAACCTCGTGGGAATCGCCGAACGAAGTGAGTCCAATACAAAATGTTGTTCTGTGCGCTGTTATATTAGATGAATGGCTTAAAGAACTTGCAGCAATTACTCAAGAACATGCAATAATGTCTCTTACAGATGACATTAGCTTTAAAGATTAAAGTTTAACTTGTAAATTTATAAGAATTTGTAATTTGTAGCTCAGACTGTAAAGCAACGATAAAATAATTCTAGGATTTTGTTTGTTTTTTGAAACAATTGTAACTTACCTTTGTATTATATTGTAATTATTTGGAATGTAATAAAAAGTTAAGATTAAAAATTATACAACATGGGTACAAGTTTTAACACATTATTCCAATTAACCACAAAACGTAATATGATTAAGAAAATACATTTTTCTTCTTGATATTTAGAATTTGTTATATTTTTTTGACAGGAAAATGCATTATAAAAATATGAAAATAAAAACAAAAATTATGCCTGTAGCGAAAAAGATTTTAAGACTCATAGCATTATTTTTTACTATAGGGTGACCAATGGGAACGTGATGGAAATAGGTGATAATTACTTCGCAACAAATAGGCTGAATGAAATGAATTAAACGCCATTTTGTAGAAGAAACTTGTCAATTTTATTATTATATATATGAAAAAGAAATATAATAATTTAATAATTGAAACACATAAAAAAAGACAAAAATTTTGCTTGCACATATGAATTAATATCAAAAATATAAAACTTACCTTTTTAAACAAAAGGTAAAGAAAGGCTCCAAGTACAAGTGTAACATATATTATATTATTTTTAAAAATTACAAACTCAAATTATTTTTTTTCAAGATACATACAGGGTGTCTCATTTTAAAGGATCCACTCAAATCTCAGAAACATTGCGTTAAATCGAAGAGTGCTTGAGACGAAAGTTGTTTGGCTTAAAGGGGGACATAAGACAGCGATAGCATTTTGTTTATAGATGACTCCACTTTCGAGATAGTCACTGATTATCAATTTCCTTAAAAGGAAATCCCAATTTTTTATTATATCATCTTTTTCTACCAATTAATTTGAACAACTTTTGTCTGAAACATTTCTTTATTTGCTTAATATATTTTAAGATATTTAAGGAATTAGAAATAAATTTTTCTAAAATTTTTTCACAAAAATGTTCGATTTTTTTACCTTAAAAACCACCTTCGTCACCTAGCAAAATAAATACCTTTTTTGAAAGGTACACTAAAGGACTATTTTTTTTTAAATACAAGTATATCTTGGGAATATGAAGATAAATTTTCAGCCAAAAATATTGAAAATTGTAAGATATTTTTTTTACTAAATTTTGAATTTTGCAGAAAACAATTTTTTGTTGTTAATTTTTTTTAATATTAAATGATTCGAACGACACTTTTTTTCTACATCAATTGATTCTACGATGTTTGAAGTGTATCTGAGAATTTTTTCAAGCTGATCGGATGCATGTATGTGAAATGGTAGACAATCAAAACGTACGTAGGGTCAAATTGACCCAGAGTGTTCTTCTTGATCGAGAAAAGAGGTGTGTTCTCCAAGGGTTAAGGAAGGACTATGAATACGGGTATTAGACTTGGTCGCTTGACGGATCTCCCGGAGACTGAGTACGCTCAGCAGAGTTCGCCAACAGACAAACCCCTGACTCGGAGCGGCAAGTGGAGGCTAGAGATTGCCGAGCACGCTTGACTGAATTCGCGCACGCACGAACCCAAGAAGATTGGAAATGGCTAGATATCGAGCATGCTCGATCGGGATTGAATATACACAATCTCCTTTGCCTGGTCGTCGGTCGGGTAATCGGAATACGGAAGGCAGAGCGAAACGGTCCGGATATTCTCTCTCTCAGCATAGAGCGTCGAGATCGAACGGCGGATCGAACGAGTCGTACGGATCGGTCTGATGCTGAGAGGCGAGATCACCGCCGTTTTATAGTCATATTCCGTACGACTGATACAGCGGCCATCACGCGGCGCGCCAATGGAAGCGCGCGATAGCGGCGGTGCGTGATAGCGGCGGCTTTGAACAATTAGGTTAGCGTTAAGCGCCGTTCGTCGGCCCGACAGATGGTCGGTCGGGCCGGTAGTAACAAAGCGGACGTGCCTTGTTGCAAGTATGGCGGTCGCTAATCGCGAGGACGCAAAATCTTTTTTCTTGCGTGTCCGAGGAAAGGAAATATCGCGTACACGTTGTTTAACATTCAACAAAGTATAGAATTCATTGGAAAACTATACACGAAAAATGTCTCTAATTATTACGAAAGAGATCGACGAAGGTTCAAGCTTCGGAGATGAAAAAGGCCAATGGCGAAAAGTCCGTTCCTATCTCTCTGGAAGTCTGATTCTCTCTGTCTCCTCTATCTACTTGAAAGCTAGTTTCTCCCGGTTGCATCCTCTGTGTCCGGCGTATTGAAGCTGCTTATATGGCTGGCCTGTTGCTGACTCGTGGCTAGCCAAATGCCACACAAGATCCGACTATGAATATCGGCCTAAGTTTACACGGCTGCCTAAAACCGGTTTAGTAACTTCCAATGTTATAATTACGATATTAAATATCATATAAACACCGATATTACAACATCACTTGTATTGGGTATGAGAATAAGTTTTCACCCTTTTCAGAAAGATATCGCTAGTGGTGCTAATTTCGTGTTTGATAGTTGTGTTTTGAAGGTGTATTTGTGAGCTTTGAATCGCAGCAGTAGACATTCGTTTGAAGCCTAAACATCATTTCTTTTCGTGTCAAAAATGGCAACGTAGCCCGCGCGGTACCAAACTCGTAAATCGTATGATAAAGGATTAAGTAAACTAGTTTATTAGATTAAATAAACTATGCAACTATCATTAATATTGTAGATAATTTACAGAATAATTTAAGTTTTGTAATACAATTCATTCTTGTTATACAATTCCTTCATGAACATTTCAAACATTTATTTCTAAATTTCTATTTACATACTGCTTGTATATAAACAAAGTATACATGTTCATAACTTTAAATAAAATATATATTTGAAAAGATAAAAAATAAAAAAAAATTATTAAATTAACATCAAGAGGATAAAATAAAAATATATTTGTACATAATTTTAAGTAAAATATGTAACTAAATTTTACCTAGTTGTTTATTGTAGAAATTGAAGTACAAATAATACAGAACGGTTGACTTGAAAATATACTTGTATTAATTTAATATTTTATATTAATATTTAATATTAATATTTTGAAAAAAATAGTCATAAAAATTAATTATTCTTAAACCTCTTCATTTAAGAGTTTCACTTAAGTAAGTTTCACTTAAGAGAAGAAAAACTGGTAATTTTATACAATTTTTAATACTCTGTATCTTTGGAATGAAGATATTATATTATATTATATTGTGTTTTATATTATATGTTTATACGAACTTTGTCTTACGAAATGATTTCAAGAATGAATTCTTAAAACATTAGATAATATAAGAACATCCTGGGGACATGAAAACACTGAAATGGAAGCTGTGAAATCAGCGTGAGATGAGAGAAATCAATTCTGCGCAACGATTCTTTTTCATGTCTTTTTTTATTCACATACATAATTAAAAGATCACATGATAGCACATACTATATTATAAGAAATCACACTATAGCATAAACTGTCGGAAAATTATAATATTAAATGCAATATTAATATGTACTGTCACATCAAATTATTTTTAAACTGCTGCCGTTTCCATGTAAAATCAGGCATAAGTGTTTCTTCCAAGAATGTTATGCAGTTCGAGCCATCAACTAGTAATATAGAATGTGTCCTTGTACCATATTCTTTTCCAACAGAAACAAAAATTGAACTATGATCTTCATATCTTGTTGGACATCTGCTTTGTAACTCAGGATCTGGTAGATGCCTATAACACATGATTTGAGATACTGTTATCTATGCTTCATGAAGAGAGTGCAGCATAAATTATATTTAAAATAGCATTTTTTTTATTATTGAATTCCCGAAATAGAGATAAAAAAATATTTTCATTTTATACTCATAATTCACTATTTTCATTAATTCCCAGACAGCATCGGACATCCAATGGATGTACGTTTCACGTCCAATTTATATCTGTATGTCCGATTTACGTCCGTGGACATAAATTGGACGTAACAAGGATGTTCTTATTGGACATTGGACATGTAGGACGTCCGATATACGTCCATCGGACGTACTATGTCCGAAGTTGTGACAAACGTATGTCCTATGGACGTCTTTTGTAAAAAAAAATGGACATATAACAGACGTCCAATGGACATCCGTGTGCTGTCTGGGTTTAGATGTTATTTCAAATAGTACTTATACTAAAAGCCTTATGTAAAATCAATAACAAATATATGTCTTATAACCAATATACGTTTTATTACACACTTGAATTTGTGATTTACCTTTCTTTTGATTTTAAGAAATTAACGAGTTTTTCAATCAGATTATTTTGGTTTGAGATATCTGCATTCTTTACAATAACTTTAAATTCTTCTTTTCCTGTTTCAACTTTCTTATAAGGATAATCTATTCCACTATTTCCAATACCTATAATATCACTGTTACACATCATAGGTCCAGTACATTCTACACAACTGTTTAAATAATGTACATTGGCATTGCTGGAAAAGTATCATTTATTATAACACTGTTATTGCTATATTGAGAGAATATCAATGAATTGTATTGAGAGAAATATCAATGAAAGGGCGTAGAAGAGAGTATTTGCAAATATACTGAGTGAGTCAGTTAAAGAGTTACAGATTTATATCCCGGAAACGAAATATTTTAGAGAAAAATGTATCAGACAAAAGTTATAATTTCAAGGGGGACATAAAACAATTATATTAGTTTGTTTACAGATGGCGCCACTTTTGAGATATTCATTATGGGATTATGTGAATAATTATCCCACTGTTCGATGGGCGGAAAACTTATTCTTTTTTTGTATATATATAAAAGTTTATCTAAATCCTATATACATGACACTTATAATTATTATTATTATTATTATCACTGCATCGTTTTTTCTTTGATCCTGTGAAATTCCCGGAATTGGTCTACGTCGACTGGTTCCGTGTGGTCTTCCCGGTCGAGTAGGAATCTAGTTCCTTTGCGAACTTCGGGGATAGTGGTCGTCTTCTACGATGACCTCAGATATTCAGGCTCCGTAGCGGAGGTCTAGTCTTACGAGGAGGACTCAGCTCTATGGAGCGTAGTAGCTACGGTAAGAGGGTGACTTCTTGCCTCGAGTCGGATTGGTGATGTTTCCAGCATGTGACAACATCGTCGTCCTGGAGACAAGGGAGTCTCTAGCGGCTCAGCTTCAGGAACTCGATCTCGAGGTAGTCGAGCGGGTGATGATTGCTGAGACGACGAGGCTATCCTGGGCACCGCTAGGGGTGTCCCAGGACGAAAAGTACACTCGGGGCCGAATAGGTCCTCCAAAAGCAGGCTTACACCCGTATTCATAGTCAGGCCGTATATTTAAGGCTTTCTTAAGTTTATCTTCAGATGGTCTGTAGCCAATAAAATAATCTGTGCAGCATCTAAAGATCGATATAAGGAGGCCTCAAATATAAGACCTGACTATGAATACAGATATTAGGCGCTGCTGGCCTGTTTTCTTCCTGCCGGAGGAGTCTTTTGCAGTCGAAATGATGGCTTGCAAAGGAGCTCATAGCTCACCAAACATCGTCTACACAGGACGTAAGAGGAACAGCTCGCAGGCGTGTTCGAATCTGCCCACACAGGACGTAGGAGCAACAACCCCGCAGGCGTGTTCTTTCTCTCCCACAGAGAGATCGCACTTGTAAAGAAATATTTAATCTCCATTAGAGACACTTTTCGAGTACGGTCGGATGAGTGGTCAGACCGCCCACGGTGTTCCTTATATCCCTGCTTATTCTTGACTGTGAGTGAGCCAGTGGGGCAATGTGCCGCCTGGCGGTGGCGCGGCGAACTATCGCCGGTCGCTGCTGCTATCCGCGCTATATATATACGTGTCTGTTCTTTATGGTGACGTCTCTATCAGTTGACCGCCACATCATCCCCTTCGTTGTGGTAAAGTTGGTTTAAAATGGATCTTTGGACAAGATATTCGGCCACTTCTAGTTTTTATTCCCGTCTTTATAGTTGGTTCCGGCTGTTGTGTTATTGCTGGAGTTGGTGACGAAGTTTCTGCTTGTTGCTCTTTGGCCATGGAAGTATGATCTGTCAAGATATATGCAGGTTTAAGTCGGTCTACTGTTATATTTCTCGGCTTACCTTGAATCTTGAGCTTGTAGATCTTAGGCGTTCGCTTAAGTATTTCGTACGGGCCATCGTATGTTCGTTGTAGTACTGGTGTTGGAGCATGCCTTACGAAGGCGTGCGATGTCTTTTCTAATTTCTTATACGTAAAAACTGCAGATTGTCCATGCTGCTTTATCTGCTGTAGCCTCAAATTTTGCATGGCTTTGCGTAAATCTTGAATAAAGGTATTGCTATCTAGAATTTTGTATTGCGTTTCCTGAAGGAATTCACCAGGTAGACGAATTGGTTCTCCGTACACCATTTCTGCTAGTATAGCCGTATAGCATTTCGGCGTAGACTATATGTCTTCCTTGATGACAGCTCGTATCCCCATGAGGACTATAAGTAATATGTCTATGTTTCGTGGCAGGTGAGTGGTTTTGAGTTGGCGATGTAGTCGTTCCACCATACCATTAGCTGCTGGGTAGTATGCCGTAGTGCGCCAGTATGTTGTACCTGTCAATTGGTTCAATTGTCGGAAGAGATCAACTTCGAACTGTCGTCCTTAGTTTATAGTGATCCTTGCAGAAGTTCCAAATCTTGCGATCCAATTGCTGAATAGCTGCTTTGCTACCATTTCTGCCGCTATATCCGAGATTGGAAATGCCAGCGTGTAAAACGGTCTACGATGATGAGGCAGTATCGTATGTCGACGTGTATGTGTTCAAATCTTCTTGTTGGTAATGCAAAATTACCGGTTGGCGAATGTACGTGACGGTTCACTTTTGCTTTCTGGCATGGAATGCAGAACTGCCCAGTTTCGACAGTCAGCTTGGATATGACACAACGCATACGAATCGTTGTACGATTATATACGAGATGAATTTTGCTGTGGTTTTACTACCTGGTTTTACTACCTGCATATGCCAGTCCGTGCAAGGATTGAAAAACTTGCTAACAAAATGGCTCTGTTACGAAGGGTCGAGCTAGAGATTTATCCGTGTCGCAAAAGATTTTGCGGTTTGACCCTGGTATTGATAGCTTCTCCAGCTTAAGTGATGTCTGCTGTTGGAGAAAGTCCTGCAGTTCTCTGTCCAATTCTTGAGATTCTGCTAGAGCTTCTAAATCGATTGCCTGCTTGATAGTCTCTACTCGGGATAGTGCATTAGCGACTACATTGTCTTTCCCAGAGATATGTTGAATATTTGTAGAGAATTATCCGATATACGTGAGATGTACCTACCAGAGTGAATCTTTCAGTAGGTTTTGTTGGAAGGCGTATGTAATTGGCTTGTGATCGATGAAGATCGTAAAAGCTCTTCCTTCCAGCATGTGGTTGTAATATTTCACTGACGCGTATATTGTGAGGAGTTCTCTGTCGTATGCGCTATATTTGGTTTGAGCAGGACTAAGTTTTTTGCTTAAAAATGCGAGTGGCTGCCACTCTCTTTTAGCGCGTTGTTGTATTACTGTTCCTATCGCTGTGTCTAAGGCACTCATGGTGAGTGCGATCTCTGCTGTAGGATCCGAATGCGCTAGGAATGTAGTCCGTGTTAGGCTTTCCTTACATGCCTTAAATGCCAAGTCATACTTCTCTGTCCAGTTGATAGGCGATTTTTCTTTTGTTTTCGGCTCCCTAAAAAGAGTGTTCAATTTTGCCTGATTTTGAGCAGCGTCCGGTATGAATCTCCGGTAGAAATTGAAAGTTCCCAGCAACTGTCGAAGCTGCTTGACAGTAACTGGCCTGGGAAATTCTTTAATGGTTGTTATCCTTTCTGGTGGAGGTTTTGTTCCATGTTGCAAAACCAAGTATCCAAGGAAGCATACCTGGCTAACCCTAAAGACGCACTTGCCCGAATTTATTAGTACGTCGCTGTCTTGTAATCGTTTGAAGAATTATTCTAGATGTTCCTTATATTCTTCTTCAGATATCGAAGTCAGGATATCGTCTACGTAGGCATAGCAGGAGTCTAATCCTTCGAGCATTTTATTGATAAATCGCTGGAATGTCTGAGTTGCGTTTTCCAACCCGAAAAGCATGTACAAGTATTCGAAGAGTCCGAATATTGTTGTGATTGCAGTCTTCGGAATATCTTCTTCGTTAACAGATTTTTGGTTGTATGCTCGTACGAGGTTGAGCATTGAAAACACCTTCTTATTGTGAAGTATTTGTGCGAAATCTTTTACATGTGGGACCAGGTAGCGATCTAGTACTGTTCACGTATTCAGTCGCCTATAGTCTCCACAGGGTCTCCATGCATTGCCTTTCTTTATGACCATGTGAAGAGGAGATGCCCACAGACTCTTGAATAGTCGGATGATTCCTTCCTAAAGCAGCAAGTTGAATTGCTTTTGCCGCTCTTAATTTGTCCAGTGCTAGTCTGCGGGAGCGACATACCTCAGATGGTCCTGGTGTGGTTTGTATATATAGTGTCTCGTATATAGTGCTGGTTGCTTCCTTCCTCGAGAAAATAGTAGGCTACGTAAGTGCGGGGTACTTTTTTAAGAGCCTGTGGTATTTGTTTTCCGCGCTAAGCATTTTTATAGCGAGAATGTCGCTAGTACCTAGTCTTCCATTGACTTTGAGACCTGTTTTTCCGTCGAGAAACGTCTTGGACCTTAGGTCAGGCAGCAGGTGATAATGGACCAAGAAATTTACTCCTATAATAGGCTGAGATACATTGGCGATCATGAATCGCCATGGTAATGCACGTCTTAATCCTAGCTGCGGTTCTAGGGTTATCCATCCGTACGTTGGAATAAGCGTTCCATTTGCTGCATATAGTGTTTCTGATATAGGTTGCAGAGCGCGGGTAAATGCTCACATCAGAGCCAGTATCTATTAAGAATTGTTTCTTGGTCTATTGGCACGTTTATACAGGGTGTCCCATTTTAATGTCCCCACCCCAAATAACTCTTCAGTATTGGAGTTTCAAGGAAAATGATATCAGTAAAAGTTGTAGGGATTTAAGTGAGCTACCTTATGATGACCTTGACTTTGACCTCTATTTTCAAGGTCATTTGAAGGTCAACGTGCGTTTTTTAAATGGGAACCTTTATTTTTTATTACACTGTCTTTTTCTACCAATTAATTTAAACAACTTTTGTCTGAAACATTTTTTTCATTTGCCTAATATTTTTTGAGATATTTGAGGAAAACTTGATAACTTTTTCAATATTTAACTTACGATAGCTCGCTAACTATTTGTCGGAAGAAAAAGTGGTACTAGACTTTTCTGCTCTATTCAATCTCAAGAATATATTGTTATAATAGCGCCCTGACTTTTGTTAACTTACTGACTTTTGAAAATTTCAAAATCATCAAATTAACAAAAATATTGTTCATTTTCCCGTATAATGCATAGATTCTGAGATAGTGGGGGCGTCCGTTACTTTTGGAAAACTTGATATAATTACATACATTATATACATACAGGGTGTCTTAAAAATACCGGAACCCGGATAACTTTGCAAGATCAAGTTTTCATGAAAAACTTTAAATACAAAAGTTGTAGAAAATCGAGTAATGAACTTGATGGTGACCTTGAATTTGACTTTGGTTATGACCTTCAAGGTCATTTAGAAGTCAACTTGCGTTTTTTAAATGGGAACTTTATTATTATTTTATTTATTTTATTTATTATTAAATGGGAATTTTTTATTACACTGTTTTTTTCTACCAATTAATTTGAACAACTTAAATACTTGTCTAAAACATTTTTTATTTGCCTAATATTTTTTGAGATATTTGAGGAAAACTTGATAACTTTTTCAATATTTAACTTACGATATCTCGCTATTTGTCAGAAGAAATAGTGGTACTAGACTTTCTTGCTTTATTTAATCTCAAGAATAAATTGTTACAATAGCGTCCTTTTGCGTGACTTTTGTTAACTTACTGACTTTTGGAAATTTCAAAATCATCAAATTAATAAAAATCAGGGCACTATTGTAACAATATATTCTTGAAACTAAATTAAGCAAGAAAGTCTAGTACCACTCTTTCTTCCAACAAATAGTTGGTGAGATATTGTAAGTTAAATATTGAAAAAGTTATTCAGTTTTCCTCAAATATCTAAAAAAATATTAGGCAAATAAAAACATGTTTTAAACAAAAGTTGTTCAAATTAATTCATAGAAAAAAACAATGTAATAAAAAATAAGGCTTCCCATTTAAAAAACGCAAGTTGACATCCAAATGACCTTGAAGGTCATGGCCAAAGTCAAATTCAAGGTCACCATCAAGTCTGTTACTCGATTTTCTACAACATTTGTATTTAAAGTTTTTCATGAAAACTTGATTCTGCAAAGTTTTCCGGGGATTCCGGTATTTTTAAGACACCCTCTATACGTTAATGTATTATGTTACATAGAAACAAATGCTATCTAAAGGACGAACTAACATTTGTATATAAAAAATGTTATATAATATAAACATAACACACACAAACACATTTGTTATAAGGATGTGTCAGAAAATATGGTCAACTGACTAAAAGGTGAAAGAAATACTTGAATGTAAAGTTTATATAAACTTTTTTGTATTTGCTAGAGTTTAGTAAATACAGCACTTCATACGGTTATACAGGAAATATTAAAGTTAATATTTCAAAAAATATGCATTTTTAAAAAATGTTCCACATATAAGATATAGATTTTTAAATAACGTATTATTATTATGTAATATGTAGTAATAATATGTAATATTATGTAATATGTAGTGTTAAATAATTGTCAAGGTTACATAAAAATTACTTTAAATTTTTTAATTTTAAATTCTTGTTATCATTTTTCGAGATATTAAGAGATTTCAACACTTTTTTTCTATATACCAGTATATAAAGTGCTATATTTATTAAATCATAGAAAATAAGAGAAAAGTTTATACACATTATATATTCCACTGTAGCTTCTCTTTTTATTTCCTAGTTGATTGATCTTATTTTTCAACATACTCTTTATAACATATTATCTTTAATTTATACTACTGTTATATTGCTATAACTAGGATGTAAAAAAGTGATATAATAGTTTTAAAAAGTTATATTACTGTTTTAAAAGAATATTAAGTAACTTCACATATTAGTAACTTTAATAGCAATTATATATATATATGTATATGTGTGTTATTTCCATTAGATGATAATTATATTCTGTGTTAAGTGGCTATGTTAGGCTCTGTGTTAGCTAGATTCTGTGTTAGATATCCTTATCAAATAATTTAGAAGATCCTTGTATAATTATCACATATTCTTAAAAACCTGTGCTTCATTTCTATGCTTCAATATTAAACATACAAAATAAAACAATGTTTATATATACCAGGTTGTGAAAAATATAAATAGATGAAAAAAATGAATTAAATAACATCTAACATGTAAAATGTAAATAGATGAAGAAAATAAAATTAAATAATGTCTAACATGCTGTAAACATCTAACCTTTATTTAATGCAAGTCTGAGTCTAAATTGAATTCATACAAAAATCATAAATTCATGTATTAATAGTATATTATACTTCAGCTTCCTTGTATATAAACAAATATATACAGGGTCTGTCAAAAGTTTGGGAATGGCTAATAATTTCAAAAAATAATGATTGTTCAAAACAATATTTGAAACAAAAGTTGTAGGGCTTAAAAAAAGCTATCAGATATTGACAATTGTTTGACCTTGGAATGACCTTGAGAAACGTTACCAAGGTCGACATAAAAATCTGAAATGGAAACTCTAATTTTTTATTACACCGTCTTTTTTCACCAATTAATTTGAACAACTTTTGTCTGAAACATTTCTTTATTCGCTTAATATTTTTTTAGATATTTAAAAATAACTTGGCAACTTTTCCAATATTTAACTTACAATTTCTCGCTAACTGTTTGTCGGGATAAAAAAATGGTACTAGACTTTTCTATTCTACTTGGTCTTAAGAATATATTGTTACAATAGCGCCCTGACTTTTGTTAATTTGATGATTTTGAAATTTCGAAAGATCGATAAATTAACAAAAAATAGAGCATTATTGTACCAATATATTCTTGAGATCAAATAGAATAGAAAAGTCTAATACCATTTTTTATCCCGATAAACAGTTAGCGAAATATCATAAGTTAAATATTGAAAAAGTTACGAAGTTATATATTATTATAATGTATATATTAGAATTTAGATATAACAAAAATAAAAATGAACAATATTTAAGTATCGATCAAGAAATATGTCCTTGAACATACTGAGGTTAACTGATGTTTTTGAAAATTTTTTTGTTAATAACTTTTTTAAAACAAAGAATAGCAGCTAAAATTTCATTAAGATTATTCAGAATTATAACTTTAATATTTTTTAAGCCCACTGATATTAAAGTAAAGTCATCTCTATTCTGCAAAATTATCTAATATTTTCATAATCTTGAATCAAATTTATATTTAAGATCAAATTCTATTATTAAATTTTTATCTTATTGTTCTGTTTAATGTAATATTTACTTAAAAGTATATTTCATAATAACTTATAAATATATTACGATTATATTAATTATTTACATACTTTAAATCTAATAGGACCAAACAATAAGGATTGTATGGTTGTATATTAATATTTTCTTTGTGTAATTTGTTCAAGTATAATTCTATAGAATCATTGGAAGTAATAAAATTTTTTATCAAAGAACCACGGCTCTTTCTTGACATATTAGGTACACCTTCTTTGTTAACAAAATTTAAAATAATTGCAGCTTTTCCTTTTGTTGATAGGGCTAACCAAGTTCCACCTTCTTTACCAGGTTCCATGTCAATACCTAACATATTTTTTGTTTAAATTAAATATTACATTGTATATTTTATAATTCGTATAACAAATAATTAAAGAACATTATTATTTCAGATAATTGCTATAAATATATTTATCATACCTCCCAAACATTCGGGATGTTTGTCCCAGTAGTGAGCTAACAATGCAGGACGTTTATACATTTCATCTCGATTTGACGCAATTATTAATCGATAAGATCTAGCATCTGCATCCGGATTACGATAAATAAATAAGATACACATAACTGAGCACAATATTCTGAACTGTGATTTGATAAAGATTCAGAAGAAAAGCTCTTTATAAAGCACTATATATCGTAATTATCTCTTGGAGTTTTTTCTGTAATCCTGATAATGTTATCAGATAACTGGTTCATAAATTAAGATAATGTTATACGGTTTGTCTACCCATATGATATATATTCAACTGATGCTATTTGTTATAAAAATATATATCTATAGTTAAAATGTAAACTCTAAAATAGTAAAAACATATTTGGACAATGTGTTACATTGTAATATTGTAATATTTAACAATTAAAATTCTGGTGAATATAAAAGTACGAGCCTCCTCACCGATTTCGCTGAAACTTTGCACAATTGTGTATTTTAGTGCGTAGAACGCGATTTTGAAAGAAACAAGTGTCGCTCTTACGGATCAAAAATTATAAAAATCCGAAAAATGACACGAGGTTAGGAAATCTGTCATGCCGATAATGCAGAGACTAGTGGTCTGTTCTTTTTAGGCCGTGTTCCAAAATTCACTGCCAGTACTGAAAATATATAATTTGTATCACGCAAATTATAACTTTGATTATAACCATGAAAGAAGGAGGGCGTACTAGGTGGCGACGGGACGCCGTGCGTTCGGGACCTGCATCTTATTTTCATTTCGAAGAGAGAAAAATATCGAGAGCGCGGTAGTCGCTAGACCGGGAATCGAACCCGGGTCTTTCGCTTGCCAGGCGACTGCTCTAAACCACTGAGTTACCTGACGCTCCACGCTCATGACACTCTTCTCTCCCTAGATAACGTTAAGAGATGTCGTTCGGAGTCGCACTATTGAATCCATAGACATAGGAATATAGGGACAGAGCATAGAGTTGCGGGGGGGATAACTATTGCGGGACGGTGTGACAAGGTAGACTGTGCCTAAATCTAATTAGTGGTTGTGTCGTGTGTAAGTATTTGATATATACATAGATGTGTATGAAGTTGTGAGTGAAATTATGAAAAAAAAGACACATGCATAACCTCTGCAAAATACTGGCAGTGCAAATGGTTCTTATCATTTTGTTACATTTACTATTTGCCAGTGACAGCCAAGTCGTTGCATCACACACTCTGAATACGCGCACTATTGTAGCCAATGAAGCTTAGGCCCCTTGCACAATGCCAGGCAACAGGCAATAAGAATAAAAATAGACCAATCACAATCGACTATTACAAGAATAATCTATTGTGATTGGTCTATTTTTATTCTTATTGCCTGTTGCTTGGCATTGTGCAAGGGGCTTTAGGCACAGTCGCCCCCCGCATTTCAGTACAACTCCCCTCGCCTATCTTACGGGCTTATGCTCTGTCCTTATATTCCTATGACTATGGTGTGAGCAGAGAGGAAGGTGAAGAGCGGCCAACACGGCGTTTTCGACGACACCGATTTTCCGCACTAGGAAAGAGCGCCATCTGCATCCATTTTGAGAGGGGAACTACGATGCTATATCCACTTTCAGGTTTCGGTGGTAAAACCTGTATGTGGTGGCAGTCCATGCTACATTCATTTTTAGGCGGTTTATGTCCGTGCTACAACCATAATAGCGTACTTGACAAGCATGGTCTCGCACATTGTTACGCGTTTATAACATGAATTGACATGTTAACATGTTTATAACATGAATTAACATGTTAACATGTGCAAAAAAAAATAATTGACATTGTGTATAATTAATATCATAAAGATCATACGAAGTGTCCGGTAATTAGTTGCCAACCCGAAGTGTGAGGGTAGATTGGGTTGAGACAAACATAAAAGTCCCATACCGTTTTGCGAGATTCACAATAATTATCGAGTTATTAATGACAGAAATCTGAGGAGTAAAAGCGCGCCGACATAGATGATTCGAAAAGCGTTGCAGCTACTCAGGGCAGCGATCATAAATTTTTTCCCTAGCGTGAACTAATAAAAAGTGAAAGACGTCTGTGAATCAGTGAAAAATGAAAAATTTTATATGAATTTGTGAAAATCGAAACATTTTACATTTCCTGCGACCGGAGGCCGCTGTGGTTCAAAGTTAAATTGTAGCAACAGTATTGTTATCGAGCAGCCGGCATCCGTCCGTGACGTCTGCCGTGCGCCTTTGCGATTACCGATAAATTTAGTTTTCTCGATTGCTCGTGCGATTTCAAGTGGCCATAATATATGGCGAGAATACATGGCAATATATGGCAATAATATACGGCAATAATATACAGCAACAATATATGGCAACAATATTATGGCAATAATTTATGGAATATATTTTTCGTTACAAAAGTCAATGCAAATTTGCGGCATGCACAATGTAATAATAAAAGAGCTCTCTGCGAGCATTGAGACAAACGCTCACCGATGATGATATTGATGATGCCCTGTTGCATCCAACCAGATCTACCAATGTCCGCCCATGTCGCGCTGCCACTCTCCATGTCGCGCAGCATCCATCTTGCAGCGCGTCCCACGTTGATTGCTACACTTTCGCGACGCGGTCGGTACTTGTATCAGAGCGGCGATATTTATGTCAATTAACGAACGTTTTACGTTGTTACCGGTGGAAACTTTTTGCGCGCTGCGAAACGGACTCTATAAACTCAATCAGCGAGGAGCAAGAACCGTGTGAAAATTTACCGACTCATCCAACGGATTTTTAAGGCGCTTTTCGCGATCGCGTCTGGAAAGTCGCAAAAATGTGGGAGTATCGATATCTACGAGTGAAATATTCGCGACACGAATGCACGCGAGGAAAGATTAGACAATCAGAAACCCGGGGTCGCCCCGAGGGAGCGCAAAGATAGAGGAGCAGGGCAAAGTTTTCACGCATCGTCCGCATTCGCGCATAGCTCCGTCACGACGAAGTTTACTTCGTTCGCGATACTTTGGCGAAATGAGAATTTAAGCTTTCTTTGTTAGCAGCGCGGGTAAAAACGCGTATTTTGATAACCGCGGTCGCTATATTCAAAGGCACGCAAGCGAGGATACCTCAAGCTCAGCGTGCGCTGGCGCAATTTCTGCGCGCATTATACGCTACTCGAGACAATAGGGATCATGATGAATGGACAATATTGCCAAATAATTCTACAGCCTGTTTTGCAAATAAAAGAAAAGTAGCGAACGGTACCGGCATTTATGCGTATGAATATATTTTACACGGACAATTGAATATTGTCAAATAATTAAATCGTTAAATAATTCTGCAGCCCGCTTGAAAAATAAAAATAAAGCAGCTGATGACGGTATCGCGCTTGTACATATGAATATCTCTTATTCAGATGACTAAACATCAAAAGAGAATAATTATTCAGTATCTTAAATCTCGTATGTAATGCAGGCTGTCGATCAAGTAATCCCCTGATTGTTTCGAGCAATGTATTTTATTCAACGTCATAAACACACACATGCAAGAATCTATTTGCAATTCGCATTGACTCGAACGATATTTTTTAGTCCCATATCCGTCATGCAGATTTTTGTTTCTCTTTTTACTTTGACTCACCGAAACGACTTGCAGTCAGAGCCGGCCACGTTTCGCTTCAACTCTGTTGCAAAAAATTCACATTTGCTCATCAGATTTGACCAACGAGTGCGGGCGAGTAAAAGAGTAGTTTACCCTCTGCGATCGTAATTCAAGTCGAGCCGGAAATTATATCCCAGCTCTAGATCGCCAAGGGTCAAACAGAGGACTATAGTAAACTTGTAAACTTACCTTCAAGCCGACTCTGCTTGGCCTGAATCGGATCCTCCGAAACGGCATCTTGAAGCTTTCAAGAGAGCTGATGAGGACCAAATTGCAAAAGCAAAGATTCTAAAGAGTTGAACACAGATGTGTAGGAAACTTGTAAATTTTACCTTCCGGCCGACTCTGCTCTGCCCGAACCGGATCCTCCGGTGCGGCATCCGCGTCCGCCAGATTTGCTTCCCGCAACGTCTGGAACAAAAATTTAGCGTTTCTGGTTGATAAGCTGCGATAAAGAAAGAATGTTTGGTCGGGATGAGTGGAGAATATTCGTTACAGTTTTTTTCTTTATTGACATTGAAAGTCTGGATAGGACTTGAAGCTCTTGAAAGAGCTGACGAAAAAAAATGACAACAAGAAGCGAGGACAACAGTTGTGTGCTCTCGAAAATACTCTTTTACGAATGGACATTTAAATTTAGATCTCGTAACGAAAGTAAACAGACTTGAAAGAAACGCTGACCGAAAACAAAAAAGGTCGCTGTCTAAGAAGAGCGGTATGACGTTGAATATTCTATACAAGACCGGTATACTCACACAGTTAAGAATTATTCAGAATGTTTAATTGAGAACATGATGAATTACAGATCCGCGTTCATGGACCGTTATTCGACTATGTCTATGGATCAATATATCTTATATATGCTATGGTTAAAGTGATAAGTTGGTTATTATGTATAATAACCAGTTATTATGCATAATATCTAACAGCTTTAGTTAATGTGATAAAATACATGCAATTTATCACTATAACCGATTATTTTACATAACCAAACTTTATTGGTTAAAGTGATAAATAATATTTAGGAAATGATTTTGGAGAAACTTTTGAAAACCATTTATGTCCAATTGTTATGAATATTGGCAAAAATACTCCAAACGATATCAAAATATTACAAAGTTATGAACAATTAAACCTACGCATAAGTTGCAAGTGCGTTTTGCATCGCGCGCTGCGCGCACGATTGTCGAAACCTACGCGTAAGTTAAAAGTGCGTAAGATGCACGCACAGTTATTAACTTACGCGTAATTAGGAACACACAGCGCGCGATACAAAATGCATTTGCAACTAACGTGTGGGTTTTAATAACCGTGTGCAGCTTACGCGCTTTTAATTTAGCCGTAGGCGTAGGCCAGAACCAGGCCTATATCTCTAACCGTTTAGGAGATATCGAAGGTTAAAGTTTTCCAAGCTTTCTCCGTTGATACCTCCGCTTCTACTGGAAGTAGAGAGTCGTGAATGTAGTCGAAAATGTAGGGTTTTGAGAGGACTTTAATTTGGTACCAGAGCCAGGCCTATATCTCTAACCGTTTAGGAGATATCGAAGGTTAAAGTTTTCCAAGCTTTCTCCGTTGATACCTCCGCTTCTACTGGGAGTAGAGAGTCGTGAATGTAGTCGAAAATGTAGGGTTTTGAGAGGACTTTAATTTGGTACCAGAGCCAGGCCTGTATCTCTAACCGTTTAGGAGATATCGAAGGTTAAAGTTTTCCAGCCATTCTTCGTCGATATCCAGCCTTCCTCCGTCGATATCTCCGCTTCTGCTGGGAGTAGAGAGTCGTCCATGTAGTCGAAAATGTAGGGTTTTGAGAGGACTTTAATTTGGTACCAGAGCCAGGCCTGTATCTCTAACCGTTTAGGAGATATCGAAGATTAAAATTTTCCAACCTTTCTCCGTTGATATCTCCGCTTCTACTGGGAGTAGAGAGTCGCCATTTACGGCAAAATGTAGGGTTTTAAAAGGACTTTAATTTGGTACCAGAGCCAGGTCTGTATCTCTAACATTTTAGGCGATATCGAAGATTAAAGTTTTCCAACATTTCTCCGTTGATATCTCCGCTTCTACTGGGAGTAGAGAGTCGTCACTTACGGCAAAATGTAGGGTTTTGAGAGGACTTTAATTTGGTGCCAGAACCAGGCCTGTATCTCTAACCGTTTAGGAGATATCGAAGGTTAAAGTTTTCCAAGCTTTCTCCTTTGATATCTCCGCTTCTACTGGGAGTAGAGAGTCGTCACTTACGGCAAAATGTAGGGTTTTGAGAGGACTTTAATTTGGTGCCAGAACCAGGCCTGTATCTCTAACCGTTTAGGAGATATCGAAGGTTAAAGTTTTCCAAGCTTTCTCCGTTGATATCTCCGCTTCTACTGGGAGTAGAGAGTCGTCACTTACGGCAAAATGTAGGGTTTTGAAAGGACTTTAATTTGGTGCCAGAACCAGGCCTGTATCTCTAACCGTTTAGGAGATATCGAAGGTTAAAGTTTTCCAAGCTTTCTCCGTTGATATCTCCGCTTCTACTGGGAGTAGAGAGTCGTCACTACGGCAAAATGTAGGGTTTTGAGAGGACTTTAATTTGGTGCCAGAACCAGGCCTGTATCTCTAACCGTTTAGGAGATATCGAAGGTTAAAGTTTTCCAAGCT